ATCATTTTTAAAACCTTAGTTTTGTTTATTTTGCTTCTACTTAATGTAACAGGTTTATTTAAAGTTCTTAGCACCATACTAGAACAAGTTACGTTTAAAATTAGGGGAATAAAAAATCCCACTACTTCGATGAAAATTACAATCCTTGAGAGATATGTTTTCCATGTGGCATCTGGGAAGTTTTCAAAGCAGGCTTCTGAAGAGGTATTACTGTTACCCAGAGAGTGGGTAGACTGAAAAAAAACTGCTGGTGCACTACCTCCCATTACAGTTAACCACACGGCAATGCAAACAATCTTTGCATTTCTTTTGGTTCTTAGAGTCTTTGACTTAAATGGGTAGACAATGGCCAGAAATCGATCTACACTAATACAGGTTAAGAACAGAATGCTTCCATACATGTTGGTATAAAATAGCATCACAGAAATCTTACAAAGTAAATCTCCAAATGGCCAATTCCGCGTTGCAAAGTAAAAAATCCTGAAGGGTAAAGTAAAAACAAAAAGCAAGTCTGACATTGCCAAGTTAATCATGTACGTTGTAGTTTCATTTCGCACTTTGAGGGTGCAGATAAAAATGTATATGGCAACACAATTGGATATTAACCCAAGCACAAACACCATGCTGAACATGCACCCATACAAAGTGTATTTAAAGGAGTCATCATAGTGGCATTGGGTGCTGGTACTGCTTACCATCATAAAGGCACGTCCAGTTTTCAGTGGAAATCCTTTTGTCAGCTAGTCTTCTTTGGTATTCACACTGTGACCACAGTAGCCTCCAATTTATTTGCAAATTTTGAATCTTTGAGTGGTTTTATGAATATTTCCTTTTTCTCAAGAATCTCCAAAGGAAAAATTTGTTGTTGTAAAGTTTCCACTTGGTTCTTCAAAAGGAAACTATTCTCATTTTGTAGTCTCCAGAATATCCATGAATCCAGGGTTTAGTTAACCGATGAGCAACCTTTAAAAAATGCAGTCAATGAAGCCAACCCATAGGATTATAAATTTAAAGAAAAGCTGCGTTCCCGTGGCAGGAGTAAAACAACTCTTCTTGTAAACTTGTGTTTCGGTAGTCAAGATGAATATTCCAAAGTTAAATTATTTAATGCTCCTCCAGAATGTTTAAGTTGGACTTATCAATCTTATTTTGCTTTTCAGTGCAGGGTTTCAGAGACTTAAACATTCCCAATTTGTCCTCTTTTAATTTTTGCTCCTTTTAAATGAAGTTTTCCAATTCGGTTTTCTTGCAGTGGATCCCAGATGGTGGTAAGCAGAAGAGTCTTTTAAAGTTTCCGAAATAAATTCCTAAGCATGTTAGCTCTTGCTGAATTGAGGCCTTTTCCTTAGTTGCCAGCTGTATTGTGAGACGGGCTTTCTCTGAAGTGAAAAAGAAAGGCTTGCTAGATTTGTAATATGACATCACAGGAAGAAGAGGCTGGGTTTGGACAAAGAAAGGTTTCAGCCCAGTTTGTTTGCAGTTCCTTTAATCTGATAATGTGTCTGCTGGGAATATACCTAGGAGGCTTGCAAATGGTCGCTGACTGTTTAGTTGAGCCAGCCGTCTGCCCATTAACTCTTTTTGTGCGGAAATGCTTTCGGGGGTGCTGGCAACCTCTCAGAGTTGTTTTTGGTTTGTTTTCTTTTGGTAGTAATA